AAGGTTTTCTATCTAAGCAAAAACCAAGTGATTGCATCGACTAATTGACTTGACAGTAATTCCTCTAACTAAGCGTGCTTGCGGTGACAGTGGAGAGGAAAACTCTCTTTTAACAGAAAGAAACCTCTTAAAAAAGCTCATTATGGTGTAAGTTGTCACACACTCGTTTGGCAACTACTCTTGCAAGAATTTTAGATAAGAAAGGAAGATTGGATATAGGTCTATAATTAACCAAGTCATCTGGGTCAATAGTTTCTTAAGTAAATGTGTTATTACAGTTAACAGTTAATCACATCTAAAATGGAGGAGGATATCAAAGGGAATGCTTCCTTAAATAACCTGGTTGGAACTGGATCCAACATTCAAGTTAAAAGCTTAGATGAAGATAACAGTTTTGCTAACTCTGAAAGTTCAACTGGATCAAATTAGTCTAAAACAGATTCAGATTCTATGGCTACCTCAGATGCCACCTTACCTTCCAGAGGTAAACCAGTCGAATTTAGACGGGTGCTAATGATCCCGTTTTTAATAGAATCCATTTTATTTATAAAGAATCCCATAAAATCATAACTGCTAATGGCAGAGGGAATGAACAGTTCAACAGAGCTATGGCTGTGGGAGAGTTTGGCAACTGTATTAAAAAGAAATCTAGGATCATTCTTATTATCCTCTAAAAAGGGGTAAACCATTTTTCCATTCTAGGTAGGATTCATGTAGGTATGTAGAGCACCATTTTCACTCTGAGAGTTTAATGCAGTGCCCAGCTCTGCATTAAACCAGGGATCCAGCTTCATATTCGTAAAGTTTCTCTTTTTTTTCAAAGGGGCTATGTTGTGTAAGGCAGAATGCAGAGAACTAGCAACAAAATTGTCAACCTGTGAAGGGGAATAAACCAAATGTTTAGCCTATGTAGCACAGCTCGCCAAACAAGATGAGATAGAAAGTGAAACAATATAAATGTATAACGCTTTGTCTAATAATGATGTGCTAAAGAATGCAGTTACTTTACTATAAGCTTTTCTGTGTTGCTCTCCCAGCTGTAGACACTAAATGAGCTGGTGTAATCTGTGAGTAATTCCTTCATTAATTTTTCAATTTTGAAAAAAAAGTCTTTTTAAAAAAAGTTATTTTATAAAATAATGTAGAACAACAACAAGCAGTTCCCTTTCTAATTTCTCATGTCATACATAAGGAAATATAGAAACATAAAATTTTAATTTGTTTTTTATTTTATTTCAGTTTGGGCACTTAAAGCATCTCTTTATGAGAGTTTTCAAAAATACTTTTCTGCCACACAAACTACTTGCTTTGTTAAATTCTGCACACATACACAGTATCATATCTTTGTTGTTGTGTAAATACACACCAAGGGCTTAATTTACCAACAGAGCTAAATAACAAGTGTAAAACACAAAAATAACAAATAATACACCAGCAGGTCCTTAAAAAATCTGAATTGCCATGAATACATGTGTGGCATCAGGTGTTACATAGCAGAAAAAGAACTCATTCTAGTCTCGAACATCATGATCTTTTGGCATCTCTGCAAATTGATCTTGTTGATGTGATTTATGTGAATGCCATGAATAGATTTTTAAGGGATACTGATTCCGTCTATATTGGTTATAAGCAGGGTAAGAAACTGCAGCTAGCAGGAAAATTGTTTCCTGCAGCAATTCAACCCCAAAACCTTCTTTTCCTATTTTTTTTTTTTTACTTTGTAGGTCCAATGTGACTGTTGTGTACAGAGAAGCCTTTCAGAGACACCCTGAGCTGGCTGTAAATGGTCTGAAGGAAATGCTGACTGGCATATTCAGGTTAAATAAATTTTAGCATGCAAATTCATAACAAATAATTTATTCATCAACTTTCTTATTTTCAGTTGGTTACTCAGTTTAATGCAATATGACAAAGCCTCCAAGTCATTCCAGGCTTGAGATTGGCAGCCTAAAGTGTGATGTTTCTCCGATAGACAAATCTCAATGCAGTCAAATGTTTACATTTAGCCTTTAATTGACCTTAAAAGAATAGTGTTATGGTGCGTTCAGACCGCACACGGTGTCCACGACAAGTGCGGTGGATTCGCATAAAATTCCTAAGCAAACCATGTGGAAAAGGGTGGTCAAACAGCAGCAGCGCATGGAGAGAGTGGAGTGGTGATGGCTGAAGTTGAAGCAAGCTGAACTTTTCTGTGAAATTGCGATGCGGCAACCAATCAGGAACTGGTTGTAGGAGAAGCTTTTTTAACTTGAGATCAGGGCTGAAACAATTAATCGAATTCATTGTGATAAATTGATTTTTGAAATAATCGGCAATTGATTTAGTAATCGATTAATCGTTAACTGGAATATAGAGACTAAAACAGGCCTTTACATTATCGCATTACATTTGTGATAATCTGTCATTTGTCAATACGCTCTATCCAGAACTACTCAAGTGGAAAAGTTTTAGATTCACCTGGTTTGATTTCATAAAAAGTGTTCTTTAAGGAACCTTTTGCTATCCGATTATTAATCGATTAATCAAAAAAATAATCAACAGATTAATCGATTTACAAAATAATCGTTAGTTGAAGCCCTACTTGAGATTGAATGCAGATAAATAATAGACTCAGACTTAGTTTGAGTGTATACAAAACAAAATTTTGATGCATACCGCTTTCCAACTGTGAATGAGCAGCTTACAGTAGCAGTGAAATTAACATTTCCATTGGTGCAAAAGGCATTGATATGGAAGGTTCAGAGCAGTGCAAAATAAATAAATATCGTGCACAATGCAGTACAACATAAAGTTGAGTTCTATTGAAAGGGATTTAAAAATTCACCATGCAATGCAAATATGTAAAGTATGATGCAGAGTCTTGATTTGTGACTTGATTAGAGATTCAACAGTTCAACAGTGTTATGGCAGTGGGGAAAAGGCTGTTTCAGAACCTGCTGGTCCTGCATTGAATGCTGCAAAGTCTCTTCCCAGAGGGAAGCAGGGACAACAGTCCATTGTGGGGATGTGAGGAGTCATTGGTCTTAAAAGTTACGTTCTAGCCTGTCCAGTGTTGGCCTGCAACAAAGCTAGTCACCAGTAGGGATGGGAATCGAAAACCGGTTCCTGTTCAGAACCGGTTCCGTATTTTTCGATTCCATGGCATCGTTTGGCAGCTCGCTGAATGATTCTTTTTTCGATTCCCGCAGCACCAGAGCCTAGAGCGCCGGCTCTGGGGAGCACGACTTACGTCACGTTTTTTACGTAAGTTACGCAACTTACGCAAGTTACGCAAGTTACGCAAGTTGGAAGAACTATTCGAGGAGGAAGACAACGTGCTGCGGTCACTTTGTGAATCAAAGCCCCGTCTTTCCTTAGCCCAGAGGGTAGATCAGGAAATCCAGCTCTATAAAAGCTTGCCCTCCATCCCCTGCAGGGATAGCGCCACACTGTGGTGGTGGAACAAGCAAGATACGCTGCCCTTGCTATCTGGACTGGCTGAAAACTACCTCTGTGTGCAGGCTTCCTCCACCCCATCTGAGAGGGTGTTCTCCACGGCTGGAGACACCATAAGCGCTGAAAGATCCCGTATCCTTCCAGAAAAAGCAGATATGCTCATCTTTCTGCAAAAGAACTGTTAATTTTCCCTACTACTGTTTTATAATTAGTATTTTTTGTTATTTAAAATAGGTTATTATCCCATCATTTGTTATTAGACATGGTTGGTTATTAAGTTTGTTCTTGTATTCATTTTTCATTTAAACACAGATGTTACTCCAGTTTCACATTTCCTGTGGACATCTTGATCTTTTTGAGTTTGTAAGATTGTGCAATAGTTAAGTAAACAAAGTTGATTCTGATAATCAAACTGTTTGTTCTCCTTTTTCCCCCAAATTGGAATCGAAAAAAGAATCGATTAAGAATCGAATCGTTTCATAGAATCGAAAAGGGAATCGGAATCGTGAAAATCTTTTCAATTCCCAACCCTAGTCACCAGTGGTCTTCTTCGACCATATTAGATGCAGAAGACGTCTAATGTGGTGTTTCTGCCTTACCTTGGCCAGTGGAAATTGATGTCTGGCTGATCGGCTTTCTCCCCTAAGACCAACCAGAAAGTTCAACTGACTTTCTGCAGTTTAACCGGTTCCAAATTGTTGTTAATAAAATGTTAAAAATTCACTGGTTCTCCATGTGATTCTGCATGTGGGTCAAAAACCTATAATCCAACATGACAGATACACCAGGGAGACAATTATGGAGCAATCCAAGTGATGACTGTTTTGGGACTGAGCAATTTTATGAAGTGGAGGATTTCTCTCCATCGTCTGTTCTTGAGACAGAGGAAATGGGGGGACGAGAGGTCTCAAAGCAGTACTGATTTTAGTTATCGGCTCAGAGATTTTCTTTGGCTGCTCCCTCCTCTGCTATACAGTGGATCACATGGAAACCGTCAATACCCATCTGAACCTTGATAGACAAAAAATAAGAGTGATACCATGAGTATTTAGGGGGGAGTGGCAGCCTAGTAGTTAGAGCGTTGCGCTTGGAATCAAGAGATTCTGAGTTTGAGCCTCACTCCCACAGACTGCCACTCTGGGTCTCCGAGCAAGACCCTTAATCCCTGATTGCTCCCCGGGCGCCGCACAATGGCAGCCAACTGCTCCCGAAAGGGGATGGGTTAAATGCAGAGAGTTAATTTCTCCATTGTCAGGTCAATTTATGTTATTTATTATATTATTTTCTTAAAATAATGCCTCGGATATGTAAACAGCACTACAAGACAGCTATTTGTTCAGTTTAGAAGGAAAATAATTGGAACCTGGTCCTTTAAGGTTGTTAACTGTCATAATTAGTTTATGTCTGTTTAGTTTAAGTCTTACTTTTTGCATTATTTATTACTTTAAAAAAATCAATTTTTAACCTAACATCTAATTAGAAGTTATTGTTTTATTTAGGCTTGGCGTTATCTATTTTGTCACGATACAGACTAATTTTGTTTTGTTTTTTTCCTTTTCTCCCAGGTGCTTGTCAATATAGGAAATTACTTCACATTTGAGTCTGTATTTCTTTCTCCAAGAAAAGGAGTCTACAGTTTTAACTTCCACGTGATTAAAGTCTACCAGAGCCAAACTATACAGGTACCGTATTTATTTGATTCACACACCCTTTCTTGTTTATTGATTCCTGTCTCCTTTTTATATTTATATCTCAGAAAAGTGAAGTATTTGCTACATGTGTTTTTTTCCGTAAACAGTGTAATTATTAAATTTGGTACTAACATAATTAGCTTTAAAATGGTTAATTGGCAAATTCATTCAAAAAGGTAGATACTCAATATCACTTTTGACAAGAAATACCAAATTATACATGGTATAAAAATGGTAGGGGGTGCCTTCTAAATAAATTTATAACATTTACAGAATTATAGGGTAGGATATATAAACAGATACGTGATAGTTGTAACATTTTTTACAATTCCTAAAAAAATGTCTAAAAAAAAAAAACATGCATCCATCCATTTTCTTCCGCTTATCCGGGACCATGTCGCAGAGGCAACAGTCTAAACAAAGTTGCCCAGACTTCCCAATCTGCGCACACTTCCTCCACTGGAAAAAAATCAAAATCTAGATAGTCATTTTTTCTTAAAATAAGTGCATTTGTTCTTGGATTAAGAAGGTAAAAGCGACATTTTGCTAATGGAACAAGACAATTTACACTTAAAATAAGAAAACACAATCGCATTGTCTTGTTTCAAGTGCATATTATCTAACTAACATATTTTAAGAGTAAAAATACTCATCCCATTTGCAAACTTTCTCATTTAGCTACTCGAATTAAGGATAAATACACAAAATTTAAGAAATTTTTACTTATTTCTAGATTGTTTTTCCAGTGGGACGCTGAGGCAACAACAGGCCAGCTCAGAGACATAGTCCCTCCAGGGTGTCGTTGGCCTTCCATGAGGCTTCCTCCCAATAGAACATGCCTGGAACACCATTGTTTAAGCCAATCACAACAACTTACAAAACATGCCCGATGATTTTGTTATAAGCCAATTCTTTTTTGTAGGTCATCACTGCATCGCTTTAGTGGGGAGTGAGGTAACATCTTGCTCTGGCTAACACTCTACCTGTTTTTTGGAGGATAACGGTAGATCTGAGCCAGATGACGAGCAGATGTCACCAGAGCTGGGCAGAGGAGGTTGGTGGCTGGGTCTAGCTCTGGGGTATGGCGACAAAAGTCCTCATATGCCAACCTATTCTCATTATGAAATCGTACGAAAAGTTATGCATCGTAATTTCGTACGTTTTGGACGTTTTTTTCGTCGTATGCGCATGCGCATCTGACGCACCATTCACGAATATAGAATAGAATTTACAATTAGTCCTAACCCTGACCCTAACCCTAAGATATAAAACCGCAAGAAACGTAGTTAGAGACATGAATAAGTGATGATTGCACTGTTTTTCCCATTTTTACGTCAGTCAGCAGATCTGCTTTTTTTTTCTGTCTGCCAGCGCATGCACACTGATGTGGTTTTTTGAGGAAAAACGTCCAAAACGTACGAAAAAGTGTGCATAACTTTTTGTATGATTTCATACGCACTGATAATGAGAATATGTTGCATATGCAATAAATACTTCTATGTGTAGCTTTACTTTTCGCAAATGCTCATTAACCCTTCCTTATGTGCATGTTTAGCATGCTACTTGTGCAAATAGAGTATCACAGAGTGCCAACATATCACACACAAGAGTGCTTGTTCTGTTTGCTTTGATTTCCTCCTTCCTCAGGATTTCCTTAAAAGTAGCCAATCACAGGCAGGTTGTTTTGTCTGGTAGGTAACACCTTACTGGAGGTTAACAGGCGAGTTTGAACGCTGTCCAGTGTACAGAGTGGGGTAGAGGTAAACTCTGGAAGCTAGGTGAGGAAGGCAAATGGTGAATGTCTTAATCTTTTTAAGAGTTAAATCAGAATGTTTCTTTTTGAAAGCCACCCACACATCTCAGAAATTTGATATAAAAAATCTTTGTTTCCTCTACATCAGCGGTCCCCAACCTTTTTTTGCACCACAGACCACTATATGTCAGACAATATTTTCACGGACCGGCCGGCGGGGGGAAAATGACAGACGAAGTGTGCTCCTGATGTCCAGTCTGCTCCGTAGCTTTGTTTTAGTTGCTTTAACGGCAGAAAATCCCCCTTCACAAAGATAGGATGTTATAGATAGGATGAATCTTGAACTGAATTAACCTGTATCAAGAGGCACTGATGCACTGACTGATGTAATTGGGAGAGAATACCGCAGTTTTGTATATATTTCAAAATAAAACATCACTCAGACTTATATATATATATATATATATATATATATATTTGTTTTTCTGTGTGGCCCGGTACCAAATGACCCACGTACCGGTACCGGTCCGCTGCCCGGTGGTTGGGGACCACTGCTCTACATTCTTTTTCTTATTCATTGAGTTTGTTTATGTAGACCTGTTCTGTAATTATTATAATCTTATAATACATATTAGCTTCAAAATCTTTGCACAATGGTAACAATGTATAGCCTGAGGTAGTCCTACTCAATTCTAGTCAGAATGAGTCTGATGCTGCTCCATAGAGCTGTGATTATGGGGCGTGTTTCGAACGAACCAGGAAAAAAAAATGCCTCTGCACTCAATTGGATAGACCTACAACCAATAAGAGCAACGGCGTGCGTGACGTATGTTAAGCGACCAAGGGAGCCAGCGGATAAATTAAACTTTTGCCGAATCCCGTAGGAAGGACGCCAAAAACATCTTTCTTTTCAACAAATGCCTTGATCGCGTTTCTCTGTTCCTTCTTTAAAATTAATTTGCTGTCGATATCTTCTAGAACAGACCTAATAGCAGAATCTACTCACCTCAACTCTCCAGCGGCAGCCATTGTTGTTGTCACCCAAGCGCGCTTTGGTCACGTGGTTGATTACGTTACTGTTGATCATCTGTCCATCATCGCATAAAGCCCGCCCTGACAATTTGATTGGCCCGCCAGATATTGTGCGATCATACTCGCACTACTACTGAGCAATGCCAGACCGAACTTCCCGACCTCAAACCTTGTGGGCGGTACTAAGTTCGGAATGGCACCCAGGCTAAAAAATGTAGATTTTTAAATAAAAAAAAAGAAAAATTAAAAATGGCAGTCTCCAAAAATACGCATTTGTGCATTGAGTCACATCAGGTCAGTCACAAAGATCCACACAAAAATGCTGTAAGTTCAAGGAACACTGGTGGTTTAAACATCAATATATAATTGTGGATGCATTACAAAAACTTCTGTGAATCTTGTCTTGTGAAATTGTAAAATTGATGTGCTTGTTCCAATCATTATGCGTGGATCATAAACAGTATGTGAGTTTGTTAATTTTGAGATTCTTTTAGCCCCATATAGAGTACAAAAAACAAAATAGGTAGTTTTTTTCATCAAGCTTTCAAAATTACATAAACACATTTTTCAGACTTTTATCATAGAGGACTTTTACACATTCATCACATTGTGTTTGAAATCCAAGCAGTTTTGAGTACAACCAGGATAAAATGGCAATGGGGAAATTAAATCAGATACTTTTGTCAATCCGACCTTACCTTTATAGTAATTCAGAAAAACAGTGCTGTCACTATCAGGTCCAGAGAATGGGCTTTTTGCAAACCCCAACAAAAAATAAATCCACCAGGGCTCCGCAAGGAACAGCTTTGACTGCAGCAGTTTAATAGTGGCAGCAATTCATCTTGGATTTTATTGGATCTCTTGTCAATGCTCCTTTAAAACTCTTTAAATTAGTTTAGTTGTGTAGACCTGTGGTTTGCTTATTTGGAATTGGGACCCTAATGGGGTTTGTGAATCAACTCTGGCGTCCTCTGTCAAACTTTACAGCAAAACCAATAATAATAATAATACATAGCAATGCTACAGATTTTATTGTCAGTAACAGAAACTAGTGTTAAATGTTAGGAAAGGCTTTATCAAGTAATGTTACAAAAACAGGGAACAAAAGTAAACAACAAAAGGTATGAAAACAACTGAGCCGTGTACATTTAACCGATGAGTTACAAAAACTTTTTTTTAAACAGAAGCAGAGTGTTTATAGCAGCACAAACATTTCAGAGATTTTAGAAACAGGCTGATAAAATCTGAGTTTTATTTGTTTTTTGGCTGATATCAGACTGGTATTCGATGTTAATTTTGGATCGTGATATCCCTGATTTGGTTTACCAACCAGTCCTGTCATGATGTTACAAAGTTCTGACCCAAAAATGCAGATAACCGAACAGAGAGACCAGGGAAAAGGTTTAACGGGTTTTATTGAAGAAGTAAACAGGGGGAGAAGTGTTGCTCTGAATACTGCTCAACCGGAACTGTAAAGTGAGGGGAAGACACAGCGGTTAGTTCAGGCTCAGTGGGGAATTTGACTCGTGAAACTTGGAGAAGAGGTTTTGGTTGCCTACTCACGTTTTCTGTGAAGTTGTTGTATCCTTGACTCCTGTCTGTGTGCCGTGGTTCCAGTGTTGGTCTGATTCGATGGAGGGCGGAACAGGGTTTACCCAGAATGCGGCTGATAGCTGGAGAACGGAGAAACTGACTGCCACCCAGATTTCCTGCGGTACTTTAACGGGTCGTAGTGGAGAATATCCCTTTCTCAGTGATAGCTCAAACAATCTCTTGGGGAAGGTGGATCCAAACCTCCTGTCTGAATCCCAGCTCAGTTTGAAGCTCACTTGATCCTTCCAGGGTGTGAAGGTCCGAGAAATCCAGTTAGCAGGACAACTTCCTGCCAAGAGGCAACCACAAAACAAAGTTAAACTCAGGTTGACAAAAACTCAGCAAACTCAGCTTGGCTAGAGTACCCTAAACTGGCAAACACTCTGGCGTAAGGGTAGTGGCAGTCAGCAGCTTAAGAAAACTCGTTTAACAAGGAAACCATCAGCAGGTGTGTGAGGAGGCGGACCAGAACAAGGCGCCTCCTGGTGGATGAAGGGAGACAAACACAGAAACACAAACACAAAACAGGAGTCCTGACAAGACCATTATAGTTGTTGGCATAGGGTTCAGCTTGGATCATATGTAAGAAGCTTTATTGAAAATGGTTTAGGGAATAAAATTGTATATAACAGAGATAAGAAGGGAGGTGAGAAGGGTAGAGGGGATAAGAAATGCCAGTAGAAAAAAAAGAATGAGGCAAGAAACAGGTAGGAGTGGAACGAAAAGAGAAGACCAATGGGAAGAGAAGGAAAGAAATAATTGGATGCAACGGGTATTCCTTAGATAGTCAGATCCCCAGTCAGTGCATGTGCATGGAAAGCAAAACCTATGGCGATTATGCTATATTATATTAAATACATTTTTGTATTTTATTTTGTATTTTCATGCACATAATTTGCATAAAAATAAATAATCTCATTAATGGTGGCTTGTCTGAGTAGTTATTAAATGTTTCGTTTTCTTTTTTAGTCTTTACATAGTCTTAAATATGGTGGGATTTTGAAGGAAAAAAACTGACTGCCGTTTTTCTTGAAGGTATGCCACACTGACCCTGGCATGTAGATCCTTTTGTTCAGTGATCTCTTCAGAGGTCAATATGGCAAAAACCTTCCTAGCGGTGGAGGAGCCATATTGTTAATAATTGTAAAAAGACAGCTAAACTTCAGGGGGTTTTACTGTAGTCACATTTCAGACTGATAGTACAGTATTCACTATTAATCACCAAACAGAACAAGTGCTGTTAAAGGTATGGTGGAGGATTTTCTCGGATTTTCCCGCCCTTTCCAAAAAATAAATAAATAAATTTTGGGAAGGGGCGAAAATACTGGTTAGCTGATTGGCCTATGTTGGTGATAGGCGGGCCAAATAAACGGATCAACGAAGCATATGACGTAACAGAGCGACGACGAAGAGGAGCCAATTGATAGATCAAACTTTTAAGAAATACTCTGTAATTCCGATAAAACTTGCTGGATAGCCACGCTAACGCTAGTTTCATCGGCTGAAGCCGCCATGTTCTTTAGACTGAACTGTCACGCTTCTCGTTGCGTCACACCTCAACCCGCCTCAAAGCCAGCGCTGATTGGACGTTCGTTTGGTGAACAGCTCCAAATTTTCTTTAACGGAGAGTCTCCAGACTGATCTGCGAGTGAAACCTTGAAAGCTCGCGAGATCAGGATGGTCTCATGAGGCTACTGATTTAAACCTTGTTGAATGAATTTGTGAACTAAACACAATGTTTACGTGAACCCATTAATGAAGAAAAAAATTCAGCTAATTTTGAAATATTTGGTCAAATATCCATCTAGAATTTCAGTCAAACTTTGTTTTTATATTGATGTTGCTTATATAAAGGACATTTAAATCAAAACTCAGTGAAAGTGATGATGTTATTTGGGTGGTAATAATATTTTTGAAATTTTTAGGTAATTTTTTGTTAACTTTTATGAAATCTGTGTAGTGTTTGAGTCAATTAAATAACAGATAAAAAACTATTTGTTCTATCATTTAAATGCACTAACTTTGAGCTTTTTCTGAATAATTCAGGTGAACTTGATGCTAAATGGAAAACCGGTCATCTCTGCCTTTGCTGGCGACAAAGATGTGACTCGTGAAGCTGCCACCAATGGAGTTCTGCTTTTTCTCGAAAAAGAGGACAAAGTTTACCTTAAGCTGGAAAAAGGAAACCTAGTGGGCGGATGGCAATACTCAACATTCTCTGGCTTTCTGGTTTTCCCTCTGTAAAAAGAAAAAAAAAGGAAAGACTATTGTAAGTCTGCTGACTTATTCATAATGTGTTTTCACAGTATAATCGAAACATTTGCTGCTTCATCTGCTGGATTCAGCCTAATGACTTACAAAAGACAAGAATAAATACATCAATACATAGGAGGGAAGTAAGACTTTGGAAACTGATCACATTCTGGGGAGGAGTCTAGATCTGATTAAAGAAACCTGAAATGTTTCCAAGCTCTACCATGTTTTCCTGTCACTCAAGCAGCCCCAGAAGAACACTTTCACCAACAAGAAGCACCGTTCAAACTTTGATTTGCTGAATTTTGCCTTGGATGCTGTGACTTTTTTTTTCTACAGATAATTTGCTTTTGTTGTTGTAAACAGTAATTGCCTTTATTAGCTGCATTAACTGTTGTAAACATGTGAAGAACAGGCTCATGTTGAGATCAGTAACACATGATACTCTGTTTTCGTGTTTGTGTGACCAAGAAATTATTTAACACTGGGTCCAAGACATAAATAAACTAAGCTACTTCTTAGGATCCTTAGTGTTTATTTTTTTTGTTTTTTTTTAAATAAGCATACACTCAGTTTTTCTAGCACTTTTTTTGCATATCATTGGTTTAGCCCCCAGGGCCGTCACTAGGTTTGAGAGACATGGGTGGCTTAGCCCCTAGGTAAGATATTGCGCGCGAATAGCGCGCGCCGAAATTTTTTCAGTGCACTTTCTAAGGCGCTGTCTATAAATTCATTATTTTAAGAGCAACATACCTGGGAAACACTTCCCTCACTAATGCTACTTCACCAACTAAACTACACCAGTTAAAATGTGCTAAATTACAAAGAGTAAATGGTAGGTGCCATGCATTACTGCATAAATGGAAGAAGGCAAGTGGTTCGCCACTCATCATAATGGAAACCTTCTACAGAAGACAGTTGTCTAACCAACAGACTCCCAACATCTTCATGAACCCTTAACCTGGCCATTCATCTTTCCCCATCTCCCCTGCACCCACAACCTGTCAGGAACCCCTGTCTGCTTTGCAATAACCCTGTTTCTGTGTGTGTGCTTGGTGTGTGTGTGTGACCTGGACTTTGGCATGTCTTTCTCTACACCTGGCACAGAGAGAAACACATATATGTGAGGAACTTAACAATAAATGCAGCATTATCTTTGATAGATTTCTGCTTAATCTAAAGTTTAACCACAAAATACAAGTTGCATAAATGGACAGTAGGCAATAGGCAATAGCATCATTGCAAAGAAGGATATCCTTGAGACTTTTTCACATCAGTCTGACAAAGTTTTAATGCAAATAAAGGAAGTATTTTTAAGTACAATGTATTAATGAAAACACAAAATCAACAGTATATGAAACGTACAACTTAGAACTATAGTCAACCCAAGGAAGCACTACCATATCACGCAGTGTCGCCCTATCAGACTGGTGGCACATAGATATGGGAGAATTATCCTGCCATAATGCAAGAGCACATAACTTCAATTAGAGAAAAGAATTTCATCTTCTTGCACTCAAAACTTATAATGCTCACACTCAAAACATGCGCTCTCTCTCAAATATTTTCTCTTCTCTCAAAAATCTTTGTTTCTTCTCTCAGATTTAAACAGATATTTTCTATATTATCACAGATATTTTTTCTTCTCGCTTGCCTCCATCTCCGCTCTGCACGGGTCTCAGTTACGCTCTGCTTGCGGATTTGTTTTGCTCTCTCAGACTGCAGTTGGATCGTTGCCTAGCAACCTTTCCAGCCAATAGAACGACAGCCTCGGAAAAGGTGCGCTTGTTTAACCCTACGGAGTGTGCCTGTGCTACTACGCCACTTATAAAGCGTCAGCTGAAACTGCTATTTACAGTAGTTTTGTGGCTGATTGTTGTTTAGAAATAGAAAACCTGGTTTCATTTCTTAGTTTTGCCCTGGATTTTGTAGCGTTTGTGGACGCTACGTCGCTACTTGATCAAAACAATAACGTCGCTACAGGAAAGTTACTTGATAAATAAAGCAGCGACGCTACGGTCAAGCTACTTGAAAATGTAGTTAAACTAATAGCTTCGCTACATGTAGCGGCGCTACTGCCCATCACTGCTCCTGTGACAAAACTATTATAATGATGCTAGTAGGCTACAACAACATCGTGTTTTCCCACACCACTGACTTTGTTCACCATGGTAACGTAATTCCTACTGAATCAGACAAGCTATTAGGCCTATATTGTCTCTTTCCTCACTCCAGGTAAAGTGAAGAAAATGTAAACCGCTGACATCAAATGGCAAACTCACCGTATGTATCTGCACGCAACCATAACTTTCCTAATCAAGCTCGATGACTGTGTGGAGATTCAAAGGGCGCGCTGTTGCTGCACTGCACAGCTGCTATGGTCCAGTTGATGGCCGTGTACCACGTGACGTGACGCTGGACGCGGAGCCAATGAAGGAAATGAATATCCTAACGATATTAATAATTGTATAAATAATTGTGTTTGTAAATAAACTAACAGGAACTTATCTTCAGATTAACTTGCCTTCTTGGTGGCTCGTTTTCAGTGCTTTACTGCAATTGTTTGGGGTTATATGGAAAAAAAATCAATAAATAAAAAAATAACAATAAAAATCGCAAAATAATTATGGGGTGGCTAATACCAACGAAGGGATGACTTCAGCCACCCTAAAATAGGTCTAGCCACGTCCCTGTTAGCCCCTAGAACCCTACGGACCCACCGGTGGGTCCAGCTGCTACGTGACCTCGTAATTTTAACAAACCCCCAGTATTGATGTAAAAAACATATTTGGCACAGTTTGGTGACATTTACGGATAAATGTGCCAAAATGGCCTCTCCGCCTAAGAAATTTCTCACTAATACCATTCTAAAATAAATATGATTCATCTGATTGAGTCCAAATTTGGTATATTTTTACACAACATTTAGATTTAAAAGTCTGTACTACTTTTTTGTGCTATAAATAATATTTTGGTAGTGTTTTGCAATGTTTATTTCAAAGAAAATTTTGGCGAGGTTCAAAAAATGCAAAATATTTTGTATTTTGTCCCTAATATTTCAGGCAGGGTCAAAGCTACAATGGTGCTGACACCAGAAAACCATTCTATGACATCTTACCTTTACAGACGTACCAAAAGTTTCTTCTTAAATCTAATAGCTGTGAGGCTATAAGTTATTTACTTTTGTGTGTTTTTGTCAGGCAGAAATTTATTTATACCCCCTGAGGGTGTAAGAGGTTAGGAAGATATGATGCCTTGGATGAAAAGAATCTTAAATTACACTTCCATTTTCTGAACGCTGCCCCAGACATAATTTGACACCCAGCCCAGGCTGCTAACGATTTTGCAGACATTTTGAAAAAAAATTCATAGCATTAGTGGGACAGGTTGTACACAACATGCTTATAACACATGTGTACCACTTTAATATAAGGCAAATTTTGTTTCCTCAAGTTGCAAGTGAAGAACAAGTTGTGTAAAGTGAATTTTGAAAAAAAAACAAACAACAAAAAACATAATTCACTCCACAAATAAAACTTTATAAATGTTCCTAATCAAAACATGGTTTTGAGAGCAATTTTTTTGGTTTCTTTAATTTCCTATTTTCAGTATTTTATAAACTTATTTTTCTCTAATCTACTTGTTTAATTTCATAAAAATATTTTTTTTTGCCTTTTTTGGGCTGATTCTGCATTTGTGCGAGAAGTTTATGGATTTGGCTGGGTTTCAGCCTTATTGTGAGTCCTGCGTCATGTAGTATATAGGGACTAAAGAGGGGCGATCAACCTCTTGCGATCCCCTCCTGATCAGGAATTGTAAGATCGGGAGAAAATCAAACATGTTTGAAATTCATTCTATGAGCCGATTTAACAGAATTCCACATTGCAGAGTTGGACCAGTGCCATCTCTCGGCACTAAGTCCTACATGTGGTTGTTGTACACGCAGTGTGAGCAGGTAAATCGCATCAGAGTGTCGGGCCGTACAGTGTAAGAACATACATCCTTGATCTGTGAACTGTTTAACCCCACGGTTTCATCCTACAGTTTGAGCAGTAGCTGCATCCAACACTTGAAAATATCGTACAGTGTATCCCAGCCCTTACCAGGATGCAAGATACTTGAAGGTTACACTAGGGTGACCATATTTTCATTTGGGAAAACCAGGACACCTTGGAGCGGGACTGGGGGTGGGGGGGTTTGGGTTGGGGGGGGGGTTTGGGATCTCTGTTCCCTTGCATAGAGACGTCTGTGGCATGCACTCAGTTAACATAGGCCTATGTAATCCTACAATAACATGATATTTACAGTTGATTTATTAAAAATGCTTTTCAGTAAAAGTCATTCCAATAACAAACGATAATTTCATTCAAAATGTATTTATTAAAAATCCTTAACAATTCCTGTAATGAATGAAAAGCACAATGAAAGAAATAATGTCTCATCTAAACATCCCTCACTTAACAATAAAAGTTAACAATAACTCTCAACTCCCAATAACAGATGATACTCAGCCTCAGCAATGAACGAAATAATGTCTGTTCTGTAGGCTATTGGAAAAAATAGATTAACAAATGAGCTAATTAACAAAAAATACCTCTTGTGTAGCAAAAATTATTCAAAATGTACCAAAAACGAACAAACACAACAATAGACTATCTTTACTTTCGGTGTCCAGGTGGCTTTTCAGATCCCTTGCCCCTCCATTGGACACCGAGACATATGTGCCTGCTTTGCACACTGTGCAGAAGCCCTCCCGTTTGTCTCGACCCGCTCTGAAAGCGGGGAAACTCTTTTGTAAATCGTCGGTAAACACACATTTGCGCTTTTACATGTTGTTGGCGTACTGACAGCCACGCTATTTATATTCTGACTAAGAACAGGGCTGCCCGCACTGACGCGGCTCAGGGATTACATCACACGCAGCGTCGTGCGCAGTGCACTAGTGCCTGTAAATTTAATGGTCCAATTAAGGTCATTTAAAAAATCAGGACATTTCCTCACTTTCTAAAAGATACCCGGGACGCCCAGGACAGGACGTGAAATGAAGCTAAGGCGGAAATTCAACTGAAGAAACTCTGATTACTTCCATTCAATCTGAGGCTGATCCGCCTCCGACGCAGCCAACCCGCTTCAAGCCACTTTCCTCGCTGCCCAATCATCTTCCAGCACTCTACTTAAAGCCACTCCAAATCATCTCTAGGCCTGCTCTTCAACAAGCGCAAGATCCATCGCTCCTATGTCGGACTTTGATTCAGACAACCCACCTCCATCCCCTTCTCCACCATTGTAGTAAGCTCATCCGACTCCTCCTCGATGCTCCTTCAACCTCACCTCCAGTGTGTACTCCCTCCAGATTTTCATGGAGGTCCCTGTCACTTTAAACGGTCCGGCAGAAGACCGCCATGTTGAGCCTGGTTCTGCCAGAGATTTCTTCCCAAAGGGGAGTTTTTTCTCTCCACAGTCGCTTCATGCTTGCTCTTCATGGACAGTTTATGCAAACTTTGTTCATTCAGTGACATCT